GTGTTGATGGCTGTGCTGGCGGTGATGGGCCTGGCAGTGCCAGCAGTGATGGCGGGCACAGTGCCACCCGTCACTGAGAAGGTTCCCGTCATCTGTGCCACATGCGAGTGCCTTGGCACAGTGCCCTTCGACGTGGACTGCACTACAACAGAGTTGCGTGAGGTGAGGCTGTGTGTGTGTGTGTGTGTGTGTGTGTGTGTGTGTGTGTGTGTGTGGTGTGTGTGTGTGTGTGTGTGTGTGTGGAACAAGACAGCAACATTAACAAGGTGTTGGTCGTCAGGTACCGGACCTGTCCGTCAACAACTTCACCTTCCCCTGGGAGCTGGACTTCGCTAACAATATCATCTACGAGGTTCCTCAGCTGCCTCTCCTCCACAACTTGCTCAGCTTAAGCTTCAAGTAAGGACTATCGTCGCTATACATGACATGTATAATATACATGTTTATGTATTAATTTGAATTTCATATTTTTTAAATATCTAAAATATATTTTCTCTATACAAAAAGAGGCTTGTATTTAGATTGTGTATATTTATGTATTAATATTGTTATATATATATATATATATATATATATATATATATATATATATATATATATATATATAATTTTGTAAATTTTGTACTAGTCTAGAATTTGTTGTTTAATTATGTATCTCTGTATCAGATGATGTATATAAAATAATGTATGTGTGTCCAAGGAGGGCAGACGTTTGGGCTAGTTTCACCCAACTCTGCACAGTGATTACTGTGAGGTACATGCCAATCATGGGTGGACGTAGCTTTTTCTAGAAAAAAAAATTGCTAAATACCAGCCTGTCCTCTTACTTTAATACACCTGAGAACTAACACTATCAACCGTGGCATCAAAATTCCAGTGTAAACCGACTCACATTGTATTTGTGACATTCATAAACAGGGGGGTTTGGTGGCTGGATTAACGAGCTTGAATCTTTGTATGTGAAGACGGACTGAAATTTTGAATACACTTTGTCAGCTGTTGCCTTGACATCAACGTTCCTTCCTCATGGTGGTTGGCTCTTGCAGTGTCCTATGGCTCTCGCCAGTTTGTAAAAGTTGGCATTTTGTGGTGGGTGAACCCAGTACTGGTTGTGTATCTCTAGATACACAACCAACTTGTTGACACTGCTGCTAAGGACGTCATGCTGACAACATTTCCCGGAAGAGAATTCCTTATTCAGATTTCTACTAAATGATTCATTCTGTAATCCACGACTGTTGGCAAGGTCATTAGCCTGGTGTTTGAGGTAACAAACTGCGTGCTCTTAAAGGTTATTATTATGTATTATTAGTATCATCTTAACTCTTGTGGGTGTGATGAGATCTGCCATATATGTTTATTTTAGTTTGTGTGTGTTAGGGTATTAGGTATGCTTAGGGGTCCGTCTCGCCATGCCCTGTGGCTGGGGAGATCGGGCTCCGAAGCTACATAAAAACCCTATACCCCCCCGAAGTGGCAAGGGTAGTTAGGGGACAAATAAAGTGACCTGTCCCCTTGCCCTTCTTTCTACCACCACAAGAGACGGTGGGAAACGGCTCTGGCGAGGTTACATAATACCCCCCACGCACTCACAACATGGAGCACCTAATGGAACACTCTGTTAATTATTCTCTGAACTCCATTGTTCAACTTAGGCATGCACCGCCTTGTTGAATGTCCCGATTTTCAGGATGTTCATCTGTTCTCCCCTGACGTGTGTGTCCCCTGACGTGTGTGTCCCCCCTGACGTGTGTGTCCCCCCTGACGTGTCTCCCCTGACGTGTGTCCCCCTGACGTGTGTCTCCCCTGACGTGTGTCTCCCTGACGTGTGTCCCCCTGACGTGTGTCCCCCTGACGTGTGTCCCCCCTGACGTGTGTCTCCCTGACGTGTGTCTCCCCTGACGTGTGTGTCCCCCCTGACGTGTGTGTCCCCCTGACGTGTGTCTCCCCTGACGTGTGTCTCCCCTGACGTGTGTGTCCCCCTGACGTGTGTGTCCCCCCTGACGTGTGTCCCCCCTGACGTGTGTCTCCCCTGACGTGTGTCCCCCCTGACGTGTGTCTCCCCTGACGTGTGTCTCCCCTGACGTGTGTGTCCCCCCTGACGTGTGTGTCCCCCCTGACGTGTGTGTCCCCCTGACGTGTGTGTCCCCCTGACGTGTGTGTCCCCCTGACGTGTGTGTCCCCCCTGACGTGTGTCTCCCTGACGTGTGTCTCCCCTGACGTGTGTGTCCCCTGACGTGTGTCAGGGTCACTTGTCCCTAGACAGAATCCTTGATGCCTCTGCCACCTATGACACGACTTGCCCGGTGCTCACGGTCTCAAGTCTATATAATGCTCAGTTTCCGTGGCCTCCACCAGACGTGTTGTGCTCAGCAACACAGGTGTTTACATCCCCCTGCCTGTCTGTCTGACCATAATAAACCTTACTACAACCAATACAAGTATGGTTGTAATAATGGTTGTATAATGGTTGTAACGAGGCGAAAACTGAGGTGGTACACAAAATGGCTCCATCGTTGTAGTTTTAAACAGGATTAATTTGCTTCATGTGTTACATATACATCGTCTATTCCACCTTGATCTTAATTACAGAGAGCCGTCATGCAGCTGGTTTGAGATTTTGAAGATACAGGCCTCGTAGCCTGGTGGATAGCGCGCAGGACTCGTAATTCTGCGGTGCGGATTCGATTCCCGCACGAGGCAGAAACAAATGGCCCAAGTTTCTTTCACCCTATGCCCCTGTTACCTAGCAGTAAATAGGTACCTGGGTGTTAGTCAGCTGTCACGGGCTGCTTCCTGGGGGTGGAGGCCTGGTCGATGACCGGGCCGCGAGGACACTAAAGCCCCGAAATCATCTCAAGATAACCTCTCAAGATGGTTGACAGTACCTTGTAGTGTTATGCATCTCATAGTTCACGTTAAAGGCTTACTTATACTGGTGGGTGATTAAATTATAGAAACCTATGCATCTAAGGGAGAATGTAATTAACAATGCCATAAGGATTAATAGACACATTCAATTATATAAGATTATTGGCACAATTGAGCCACATAGCCTAAAGAGATTGATGGAAAATTCAAAGTCGTTTAGAATGGATCAAAATCTATTTTTAATAACGCAGGGAAGGAACCTTATCACAATTTTCCCCCCATAAAGCTTATCAAGGTGTACAAATCCACAAGGGTCGTGATGAGGATTCGAACTTACGCCCGGGATGATCCCAGTCGCTGCCTAAGTCGACTGCGCCAAGACATAGTCAAAAGAATTGTGGAATTGTGGAAACCTTTGTGAATTTGTTCATTTGATACATCACGCTATTGTGATTTCTGTGTGTATTTATCAAGGTATATTCCTCCCTGCTCCTTGAACTCCCTTCAGAGTACTAAATACCCACGTCTCAGTGCTGTCTCATAATTACCAACCTATTCTCTCATAACCAGTGAGTAGTTAAGAGTTGTCTCCTTGTAGGAGGAACCATGTGAGGAAGATAGCAGACGGAGCCTTTATGAACCTGCCGGACCTCAAGGATCTGTCCTTCCAGTTCAACAACTTGACGGAGGAGTCTCTGCTTGAGGACGTCTTCAAGGGTGAGTGGTGGGGGGGGGGGTCGCTATAGCAGGGGGTATGACAGGTGGGGACGTTGTTATAGCAGGGAGCATGACAGGTGGAGACGTTGTTATAGCAGGGGGCATGACAGGTGGGGGTGTCGCTATAGCAGGGGGCATGACAGGTGGGGGTGTCGCTATAGCAGGGGGCATGACAGGTGGGGGTGTCGCTATAGCAGGGAGCATGACAGGTGGGGGTGTCGCTATAGCAGGGAGCATGACAGGTGGAGACGTTGTTATAGCAGGGGGCATGACAGGTGGGGGTGTCGCTATAGCAGGGGGCATGACAGGTGGGGGTGTCGCTATAGCAGGGGGCATGACAGGTGGGGGTGTCGCTATAGCAGGGAGCATGACAGGTGGAGACGTTGTTATAGCAGGGGGCATGACAGGTGGGGGTGTCGCTATAGTACGGGGTATGACAGGTGGGGGTGTCGCTATAGCAGGGGACATGACAGGTGGGGGTGTCGCTATAGCAAGGGCATGACAGGTGGGGGTGTCGCTATAGCAGGGGACATGACTAGTGTGGGGCGTCGTTATATCAGGGGGCATGACAGGTGGGGGTGTCGCTATACCAGGGGGCATGACGTTATAGGCTGAAGCAATGAGAGGTATGTCGTTATAATAAAGGGGGATAAGAGGTGAGCAGAAATATTATAGAGATGATTGGAAACCATTTGAAGATTGGGGATCAGAGGCACAGAAAATTCCAACAGTTATCAGCCAGGTAATGCTAAAAGTCTCGTATAATTTGTCCAATTTAATATAATTCCAAAAAGCAATTACAGTGAAAAAATCATTATGTAATAAATTTTCTACACAGGATTTAAATTTCCATCAAAATAGAGAATGTAGATTCTCAAACCAAACTGAAGTAGTCTTGATTCCAGTGAAACTTTATACTTCCAGATTCCAGTTAATATTTTGATGTATTCAGATGTGTTAAAAAGTAATATTCTGGACGATAATTCTCTCACCCAACACATGTTACCAAAATTCTGGCATTTGCACAGACGAGTAATCTGAGAATACTAGAGTTAAACACTGTGTGTGTGTGTCTACGTGATAGATAAGGTAAGACCTGCTAAATTATAACCTCTATCACAGACTCCTTTACGACCTATTCTCTGTGTCCCTCAGGGAACTACAACTCCACCTACCCCGAGCCCCTACCCCTGGAGAAGCTGGACCTGAGCTACAACAATATCAGGTCCCTGAGGCGTAACGCCTTGCGCCACCTTCCCTTCCTCAAGCATCTCTTCCTCTCCCACAACCCCATTGAAGACATCACCTGGAACATGGCTGCTGCCATCACCGAACTTCACAGCCTGGAGGAGCTGGACCTCTCACAGACGGGCCTCAACCGCCTGCCGTCCCACTTCCTGGCAGACCTAACGTGAGTGTGGCAGTGGCGACTGGAGCCCTAATGGGCGGCACTAATGGGCCAAAGTCGTCTCTAAACTCTACAGATTCCGACTGGTCAAAGAACCTGGGGCCAGATTCACGAAGCAGTTATGCCAGTACTTACCAACGTGAACATCTTTCCTCAATCTTTGACGGCTTTGGTTACATTTATTAAACAGTTTACAAGCATGAAAACTTCCCAATCAACTGTTGTTATTGTTATAAACAGCCTCCTGGTGCTTCGAAGTTTATTAACTGTTTAATAATTGTAAACAAAGCCGCCAAAGATTGAGAAAAGATGGACAGGTTCGTAAGTGCTTGCGTAACTGCTTCAAGAATCTGGCCCCTAGAAAATTAATAGATTACCATATATTAAGGTGACGTAGACGAGATGGAATTTTGCCTCAGGATACAAAACGATTCCGTCAAACTCAGGCACCATTTCCTGCCTGGTGAGGGACTCCTAGACAATTTACAAGTCCGTCAGGAGAGGTTATAATAGGATATGGATTGATGTCCTGTAAACGTAGCCGTCACTAAAGCTCTTTGACAGAAATGTCTTAATTTCCCCACGTACAGGACTGTGTACAGGACCCCACATTACCATGTACTCACAGGACCCCCACGTGCACCGCCTTACGAGCCTACTTACTGAGAGGTGCCTTCCGTACCCCTCGTAGAGGAGCCTTCCGTACCCCTCGTAGAGGAGCCTTCCGTACCCCTCGTAGAGGAGCCTTCCGTGCCCCTCGTAGAGGAGCCTTCCGTACCCCTCGTAGAGGAGCCTTCCGTACCCCTCGTAGAGGAGCCTTCCGTACCCCTCGTAGAGGAGCCTTCCGTACCCCTCGTAGAGGAACCTTCCGTACCCCTCGTAGAGGAGCCTTCCGAACCCCTCGTAGAGGTGCCTTCCGTACCCCTCGTAGAGGTGCCTTCCGTACCCCTCGTAGAGGTGCCTTCCGTACCCCTCGTAGAGGAGCCTTCCGTACCCCTCGTAGAGGAGCCTTCCGTACCCCTCGTAGAGGTGCCTTCCGTACCCCTCGTAGAGGTGCCTTCCGTACCCCTCGTAGAGGAGCCTTCCGTACCCCTCGTAGAGGTGCCTTCCGTACCCCTCGTAGAGGAGCCTTCCGTACCCCTCGTAGAGGTGCCTTCCGTACCCCTCGTAGAGGAGCCTTCCGAACCCCTCGTAGAAGTGCCTTCCGTACCCCTCGTAGAGGTGCCTTCCGTACCCCTCGTAGAGGAGCCTTCCGTACCCCTCGTAGAGGAGCCTTCCGTACCCCTCGTAGAGGAGCCTTCCGTACCCCTCGTAGAGGTGCCTTCCGTACCCCTCGTAGAGGTGCCTTCCGTACCCCTCGTAGAGGAGCCTTCCGTACCCCTCGTAGAGGGGGTATGGAAGGAACCTGTATACACACTGGCACATTGGTGTAAACAGGACCTGGTCAGTGCCAGTGGTGTATACAGGACCTGGTCAGTGGTGTAAACAGGACCTGGTCAGTACCAGTGGTGTAAACAGGACCTGGTCAGTGCCAGTGGTGTATACAGGACCTGGTCAGTGGTGTAAACAGGACCTGGTCAGTACCAGTGGTGTATACAGGACCTGGTCAGTGGTGTAAACAGGACCTGGTCAGTACCAGTGGTGTATACAGGACCTGGTCAGTACCAGTGGTGTATACAGGACCTGGTCAGTACCAGTGGTGTATACAGGACCTGGTCAGTACCAGTGGGACGGACATGGATAGCAAGTTCATTCCAGGTAACATCAAAAGGCTGGGTTCCCAATAGACTTTTGAAAGTCTTATATTTGCTATAGACGAGACTATACTGTCTCCAAATATATAAATATATATATATATATATATATATATATATATATATATATATATATATATATATATATATATATATATATATATATATATATATATATATCCCGAATCCTTATCCCGACTCCCTTCCCAGTGCTGTATATAGTCGTAATGGCTTGGCACTTTCTGACAGTTGCTTTTCCTTTCTGCTGTTGAAGGAAGCTGCGGGTGCTGACGCTGGCGGGGAACCAGTTCACGTCCGTGCCGTCGGAGGTGCAGTACGCCCACACTCTCGTGCATCTCAACCTGAATGCCAATCCTATTGTGGTGAGTACGGGCAGCGGTGCCAGGAATGGTGAGTATGGGCAGCAGTGCCAGGAATGGTGAGTACGGGCAGCAGTGCCAGGAATGGTGAGTATGGGCAGCAGTGCCTGGAATGGTGAGTATGGGCAGCGGTGCCAGGAATGGTGAGTATGGGCAGCAGTGCCTGGAATGGTGAGTATGGGCAGCAGTGCCAGGAATGGTGAGTACGGGCAGCAGTGCCTGGAATGGTGAGTATGGGCAGCAGTGCCAGGAATGGTGAGTACGGGCAGCAGTGCCAGGAATGGTGAGTACGGGCAGCAGTGCCTGGAATGGTGAGTATGGGCAGCAGTGCCAGGAATGGTGAGTACGGGCAGCAGTGCCAGGAATGGTGAGTACGGGCAGCAGTGCCAGGAATGGTGAGGCGGACACTGCGCGTGCGCTGTCATATCCTGGTAGCAAAGTTGGCTTCGTTCTCGACTCGCTATCGGGAATTCCAGGTTTGAATCCCGGGCGGAACGGAAATGGTTGGGCGAGTTTTCTATCACCTAATGCACCTGTTCACCTGGGAGTAAATAGGAAATGGGTGAGCGAGTTTTCTAACACCTAATGCATCTGTTCACCTAGCATTAAACAGGTACCCGGGAGTCATTTTTTTGTAGGGTTGCATCCTAGGGAAGGGTTAGTAATTCGACATTTGGGGGATGGGGGGGGGGGGGGGAAGAGGGGATTTTGATATGAGCCTTACATGTATATACAGTGGCTGCCTGTCCCCTGACAATGAATTATGAAGATATCAGAAGCTCACTTGCACTGCTCCCTGTAGATAAAGATAATCTGTTCAACACTGGTGGGACGCGAACAAGGGGACACAGGTGGAGACTGAGTACCCAAATGAGCCACAGAGACGTTAGAAAGAACTTTTTCAGTATCAGTAGTTAACAAATGGAATGCATTAGGCAGTGATGTGGTGGAGGCTGACTCCATACACAGTTTCAAGTGTAGATAGAGTCCAGTAGGCTCAGGAACCTGTACACCAGTTGATTGACAGTTTAGAGGCGGGACCAAAGAGCCAGAGCTCAACCCCTACAAGTACAACTAAGTGAGCACTGCTGTGCGTGACCATTTTCTTTGATGATTCGTTATAGCACACGAAGATATTGCTGGTATTCATTTTGGTGTTAAGTCTAAATATGATTTTTCTTGACTATTGTAACACTCCTTCCTGCCCCCTGCAGACGGTGATGGCGGGAGACTTCCAGGAAGGCTTGAGCACACTGCAGGTGCTGGAAATGAGCGCAATGCCGGCCCTGAGAAACGTAGGAGTGAACGCCTTCACCAGCCTGAGGGGGTTGCAGGTCCTGAAGATGTCTGACAACCCTCAACTCTCCGTCATCGACAGGAAGGCCTTCCGCGTCACCCAAGACGACGACCTGGCTCTTCAACAGGTGTGTGTTGGCTTCCTTCCTCACGCACGACGTGCTGGGGCGGTGGTAGGTTAAGAGTGAGGGCTCTCTTACTCATGAATGAGCAAATGGTCAATGATGTTAATGCTGTCGACTCGGCTAATTGTTCCTGGGTTCGATTCCCGTGTAGGGCGTGACCTGTGTATCCGTTACACCCGTTCCTTCTGTTCACCTTGCAGTAAATAGGTTCCTGGGAGTTAGACTATTGTCGGTTGCATCCTGGGAAAAGCCAGTCAGTTATGTCCTGGAAATTACAATGTAATCATTAACAAAAATGAATAAACAAATGTTTTCATTTATAAAATAAAAATTTCCTCCAAATTGTTTCATTCGTCATAGACTTATATCTTCAAGTTTTGGACTGTTTTCTAAGTGATTTTTGTAACGTGGGTGATTGTCTCTGAGGGTCTGAGGACCCGTGTTGAGCATGTTGGTCTTAATGGTCCATCACCACAATCCTTGCACTGACCAGCGCCACTCTCCACCACTCCAGATCCACATCCAGAACAACAACTTGATGGTTCTGGAGGAGGAGCTGCTGCCGTGGCTCGCGCTCACATATGTGGACATCCAGAACAATCCCTGGAACTGTGATTGTAACTTCCGGTGGGTAGCGGAGACCCTGCTCCCAGACCTGGAGGCCAAGAACCCTCAGACCACACTCAGTATACTGTGAGTATGTTACCACACTCAGTATACTGTGAGTATGTTACCACACTCAGCATACTGTGAGTATGTTACCACGCTCAGCATACTGTGAGTATGTTACCACACTCAGCATACTGTGAGTATGTTACCACGCTCAGCATACTGTGAGTATGTTACCACACTCAGCATACTGTGAGTATGTTACCACACTCAGCATACTGTGAGTATGTTACCACACTCAGCATACTGTGAGTATGTTACCACACTCAGCATACTGTGAGTATGTTACCACACTCAGTATACTGTGAGTATGTTACCACACTCAGTATACTATGAGTATGTTACTACACTCAGCATACTGTGAGTATGTTACCACACTCAGCATACTGTGAGTATGTTACCACACTCAGTATACTGTGAGTATGTTACCACACTCAGTATACTATGAGTATGTTACTACACTCAGCATACTTTGAGTATGTGTTGGTTATACCTCATCCTCTGTCCCATCTCCCTACAACCCCTCTCCGTCCTTCCCTCCTAACTCCCCCTCCTCACCTTCTCCTCTTTTCCCCTGTCCAACCACTTGGGCTGGACGGTAGAGCGCATACGGTCTCGCTTCATGCAGGTCGGCGTTCAATCCCCGACCGTCCAAGTGGTTGGGCATCATTGCTATCTAATACCTACATTGCTATATCATAGCTATTTCTCCCGATAGTTCCCACTCTCCTAATTCCCCTTCCCTTTCTGTCACCCCTTGTACTAACCCGTCACCTTGCATTAACCCGTCAGGTGCGCCGAGCCAATTGCGGATCGCGCCAATCGCGTTGCGGACCTGCTGGGCCGCGCCCATACCTTCGAGTGCGGCGCCCCTCGCCCCTTCGTCAGTGAAGAGGGCCACTATGGTGTCCTCATCGTCAGTTCCATCGTCGTCGGCGTCCTCTTGCTCTTCACTGGCACCCTCGTCTTCACCTACGTCCTCTTCAGGAGAACCAGGGTAGGTGGCACCCCAGAATTCCTACCTCTCTTATGGCTTTGAAGTATGGTGCAGTGGATAGTGTGTGTATCTGCCACTCTGTGGGCCAGGGTTCGAGTCTCCTGGTGGGTTGAGTGTTAAAAAGTTATAAACTTCAGCTTGCGATTAGGCAAGTCTGTACATTGAGCATTTACACCGAGTTTTCCCACATAACAGGGCTCGATTAAAGAACACCAGAGGTCCCTCATCATCTCATTGCCTGGGAGAGTAATGGAATTCTGTTGGTTAAATACCCCAGAATTCCTACCTCTCTTATGGCTTTGAAGTATGGTGCAGTGGATACAGTGTGTACCTGCCACTCTGTGGGCCAGGGTTCGAGTCTCCTGGTGGGTTGAGTGTTAAAAAGTTATATATACATATATATATATATAAATTGAGTATAGGTATTTTTTAATGTGTGTTCGTTTGTCTCGTGTGGGAGTGGATGAGTAGCACCTTCACTGTCAGATCAAATTGAATTAAAAATATATATATATATATATATATATATAACAACATTGTCAATAAAGATTATTAAATAAATGTCAGTTTCTGAGCCGTCAATAAGCGGAGTTTAAGTGTTTAAGTCTTTGAAGCTCACTTAATACAAATGCCAGACGGCAACCCCCCCCCCCCCCCTCACCTTCCTATCTCTAAAATGATGGTATTACATCAAACGTTCAAAAATAAACGATTGGATCCAAAGGAGGCATCACGTTTGGTATCATTAAATTAGCCCCAATGGTACTATGAACAAATCCACAAGGGCCGTGATGAGGATTCGAACCTGCGTCCGGGAGCATCCCAGACGCTGCCTTAATGTTCATTAGATGCATCACGCTATTGTGATTTCTGTGTGTAGTGCCCATGTACTATATTAGGCCTATAATAGTGTGCTATACTAGGCCTAGCAATATTTGAGTTTCCTCGTCTTTTTTACCTTGCTGTGTACGATATCAACAGTACAAAGCGTGAACATTGCCACTTGAAGCAGTACACTTTGTAAGTTCCAGTAAATAACATGAAAGTACTTGAATGAACTAAGAGAATGGGGGGCGCCTTCTCGATATTCTTCCCCTCTCCCCCCCCCTCTCCTCCCCTCTCCTCCCCCATCCCCCCCTCTCCTCCCTCTCTCTCAAAGCCTCACCTGTCGACCTATTAATTACATCACCTCTTCACCACAACACTCAACCTGAGGCCTTTCAATCTCAACAGCCCCCTTCTCCTTTGACCTCCCCCCCCCCTCTCCTTCCCCCTTAAACCCCCCCCCCCACCCCCCATCCTTCACCTCTCAATCAGTCTCCCCTTTCCCACCATCTCCTCCCCCCCCCCACCCCCACCCCGTCCTGCAATGCACTCCGCTCCAATGTTCTCTAATTATTGTGAGTGGCGTTATAATATCTTGAGGTGACGGTGTCTCTCCTCCGGCAGACGAGGCAGATGTTCGGAGACAGCGTCAAGTACCGGAGAGCTTACAACGACGACGTGGACACTATGAACCAGACCGTCCACTCCTAGACCGTGCGACCCTCCTGGAGGGGTGGGGGCGGGGGAAGGGACTTGCCGGAGTGCTGGAGGGCGGCCTGGAAGACAACGCCTGGCTGTCTGGGACCTTCAGCATCCACCTGAGAGGATCGTCAACTACCCCAAGTCTTCATCTTCCTGAAGCCATTTTGAAACACTTGAGGACCCCCTTAAAACGCGGGAACCACGGGAGGCGTTGTGGTCTTTTTTGGTCTGGTAGGGACGCGAGTCTTATTTTCCTCGGCGTCACCCCTTTTATATAAAAGGAACCATCGGAAATGCATCCGAGGTGCCGTGTGGCTTGTCGCCTCCTCGTGTATATATACTTTGGTCATCCCTCTTTGACTTGGTGCTTTCTCCTTGGTAGTTCCCTCGCCCCTTAGCCAGGATTCTTCAAGTGTTTAGGCATCTAGTTGCGAAACCTGTACATCTTTCCTAAATAATGGTGGCTTAGTTTTACGCTAATGAATGAAAACTATGTCGCCATTATCGAAGGAAGACCTACAGGTTCCGTGAGTGACTGTGTAAATGGTTGATAAATTCTGCCTCCCTTCTCCCACTTTAACTCCATACCCCCCCCCCACCCCATAGCCTCCTCTCTCCCCCTCCAAGCCTCTGTACTCCAAATAAATCCCCCAGCAAGTGTATGGCTCGAAGTCGCAATCGGATGCAATGATTGGCTCCCTGTTTCTTCTGGCTGGCGTTGATTGGCTCTGTGCCTTCTGGTGCGCCATGATTGGCTCTGTGCCTACTGGCGCGCCATGACTGGCTCTTCCTCCAGTGACCAGGGCCATTCACTGCCTTACAGCGTGATTTGTAAGAACAAATCAAGCAATACAGAAGTTGTGAACCACTCTCTCTCGGAGACCAGGAACCAATCGATGAATACCTTAGTAAGGAGCAATGCAACACGTTCTCGCACTTTCTTAGTCAATATTGACTTATTAAATACGTGCATATGTGACATACTAATTTATTGTGAATATTTTAGTTTACCTTGAAAAGCTTCATAGAAAACACCGACCTTATCTAACCTTCTTAGTATGTTAAGATAAGCATCTTATTGCTTCGTAATTACAATTATTACTTAACCTATACCTATAATAAGTTAAGTAACAATTGTAATTACGAAGCAATAAGATGCTTATCTTAACATACTAGGAAGGTTAGGTAAGGTCGATGTTTTCTATGAAGCTTTTCAAGGTAAACTAAAATAATCACAATAAATTAGTATGTCACATATGCACGTATTTAATAAGCCAATATTGACTATACGAAAGTGCGAGAACGGGTTGAGCAATGACAACGTGCTGTCACCCACATACACAAGTACTAGGGACTTGAATGGCCTTTCTTGGTCCTATATAACTTCAAAGGTTAACACACTCCAGTGTAAACCATCTATATAATGCCTCTCTTGGTCCTATATAACTTCAAAGGTTAACACAGTCCAGTGTAAGCATCTATATAATGCCACATTTCCGTTTCCTCTTGCCCCCGTTCTGTCTCCGGAATGGTCTACGTCCTTTGTTGTGCCCTGACTGCTTGGGCAGAGTGGCAGCCTGTCTTCCATCGGAGCCTGTGATCATGCAAATTGCAACCAGTGCTCGCTGGGGCTACATGGGAAAAAGAGAACGATAGAGAAGTGTGTGTTTCCATTACAAATACAACATTCAGAATAGCATTTCTTGCGTGTATAAACTATTGTTGTCAATGATTGACTTCAAGACATTATCTGAAAGAGGGTTGTATGTCTGTATGATACAAATATAGTCTGTTATTTGTATTTCCTGTGTAAACAAGGACACATGTCTTTCCTTTGTTATATAATAGAACAGACTATGCCTTTGTTAAGCTTCCATATCCATGCTGTGAAAACACAAGAGTTCCCATATTTTGTATTAATGTATATTTTATATATCTATATATATTTCTGGTATGATAAGTGTTGATTGATGACTAGTTTTGTGACAGGTAATTGGTTCATTAACACGTACACACCATTGTAACACCGGTACACACACATATACACATACGCGCCCACACTTATATTCTACCAACTAAAGTGCTTTGTAAGTAATAAAGTTTGAAAATTAAGTATTGTTTCTTCGTTTTTTTACTAAAATCTTTAATGTCTGTGAGAGGGAATGTTGAAGGAAGTGGTGTCAGACGCTAGGGGCTACTCTCACTATACTTTGTAGCATGACTGGTGAGTGGAAGGGGAAGATCATAGACGGATCAGGATCAAATCTCACACCCCCCTTGAAGAGAGGTCGCCTTCTTGCTGCCATTCATGGCCCCGATTAAGTCGTTGTGGGGGAAAGACGTGACAAAACGCATATTCAGATAAGAGATTTGCATTCTAAGGGATTCCCAACATTGAAATAATGTAATTTTCTGTGATGAACCCACGGGCACCACCAGGGACCCCGGGCACCACCAGGGACCTCGGGCACCACCAGGGACCTCGGGCACCACCAGGGACCCCGGGCACCACCAGGGACCCCGGGAACCACCAGGGACCCCGAGCACCACCAGGGACCCCAGGCACCACCAGGGACCCCGGGCACCACCAGGGACCCCGGGCACCACCAGGGACCCCGGGTACCACCAGGGACCCCGGGCACCACCAGGGACCCCGGGCACCACCAGGGACCCCGGGCACCACCAGGGACCCCGGGCACCACCAGGGACCCCGGGCACCATCAGGGACCCCGGGCACCACCAGGGACCCCGGGCACCACCAGGGACCCCGGGCACCACCAGGGACCCCGGGCACCACCAGGGACCACGGGCACCACCAGGGACCCCAAGCACCACCAGGGACCCCGGGCACCACCAGGGACCCCGGGCACCACCAGGGACCCCGGGCACCACCAGGGACCACGGGCACCACCAGGGACCACGGGCACCACCAGGGACAACGGCCACCGCCAGGGAAACCCGGCACCACCAGGAACCCCGGGCACCACCAGGTACCAGCAGGGACCCCGGGCATCACCAGGGACCCCGGGCACCACCAAGGACCCCGGGCACCACAAGGGACCCCAGGGAATCCAGGCACCACCAGGGACCCCGGGCACTACTAAAGACCCCAGGCACCACCAGGGACCCCGGGCACCACCAGGGACCCCGAGCACCGCCAGGGACCCCTTGCACCACCAGGGACCCCGGGCACCACCAGGGATCCCATATACCATCAGAGACCCCAGGCACCGCCAGGGACCCCAGGCACCACCAAGGACCCCAGGCACCACCAGGGACCCCGGATACCACCAGAGACCCCAGGCACCGCCAGGGACCCCGGGCACCACCAGGGACCCTGGGCACAACCAGAGACCCCAGGCACCACTAGAGACCCCGGCACCACCAGGGACCCCAGGCACCACCAGGGACCCGGGGCACCACCAGGGACCCCGGGCACCACCACGGACCCCGGGCACCACCAGGGATCTCGGGCACCACCAGGAATCCTGGGCACCACCAGGGACCCCTGGCACCACCAGGGACCTCGGGCACCACCAGGGACCCCGGGCACCACCAGGGACCCCCGGGCACCACCAGGGACCCCAGGCACCACCAGGGACCCCGGGCACCACCACGGACCCCGGGCAACAAAAGGGACCCCAGGCACCACCAGGGACCCCGGGCACCACCAGTGACCCCAGGCACCACCTAGGACCCCGGGCACCACCAGGGACCCCGGGCACCGCCAGGGACCTCAGGCACCACCTGGGATGCCGGGCACCACCAGGGATCTCAGGCACCACCGGGGACCTCGGGTACCACCATGGACCCCAGGCACCACCAGGGACCCCGGCACCACCAGGAACCCCGGGCACCACCAGGAACCCCGGGCACCAAAAGGGACCCCAGGAACAACCAGTGACCCCAAGCACCACGAGTGACCACAAGCACCACCAGGGACCCCGGGCACCACCAGGGACCCCGGGCACCACCAGGGACCCCGGGCAACACCAGGGACCCCAGGCACCACCAGGGACCCAGGGCACCAAAAGGGACCCCAGGCACCACCAGTGACCCCAAGCACCACCTGGGACCCCGGGCACCACCAAGGACCCCGGGCACCACCAGGGACCCCAGGCACCACCAGGGACCACGGGCACCACCAGGGACCCCAGGCAACATCAGGGACCCCGGGCCCCACCAGGGACCCCGGGCACCACTGGGGACCAGGGGCACTACCAGGGACCCCGGGCACCTCCAGGGACCCCAGGCACCACCAGGGATCCCGGGCAACACCAAAGACCAAGGGCACCACCAGGTACCCCGGGCACCACCAGTGACCCCAGGCACCACCAGGGACCCCGGGCACCACCAGGGACGCCGGGCACCACCGGGGACCCCGGGCACCACCAGGGACCCAGTGCACCATCAGGGACCCCAGGCACCACCAGGGACCCCAGGCACCACCAAAGACCCCGGGCACCGCCAAGGACACCAGGCACCACCAGGGACCCCGGGCACTACCAAAGACCCCAGGCACCACCAGGGACTCCGGGCACCACCTGGGATCCCGGGCACCACCAGGGACTCCAGGCACCACCAGGGACCCCGGGCACCACCAGGGACCCCGAACACTACCAGGGACCCCAGGCACCACCAAGGACCCCAGGCACCACCAGGGATCCCGGATACCACCAGAGACCCCAGGCACCGCCAGGGACCCCGAGCACCGCCAGGGACCCCGGGCACTGCCAGGGACCCTGGGCTCAACCAGAGACCCCAGGCACCACTAGGGACCCCGGCACCACCAAGGACCCCAGGCACCACCAGGGACCCCGGGCACCAGCAGGGACCCCGGGCACCAGCAGGGACCCCGGGCACCACCAGGGACCCAAGCACCACAAGGGACCCCGGGCACCACCAGGGACCCCGCGCACCAATAGGGACCCCGGACACCACTAGGGACCCCGGGCACCACCTGGGATGCCGGGCACCACCAGGGATCCCGGGAACCACCAGGGACCCCGGGAACCACCAGGGACACCGGGCACCACCAGGGACCCCGGGCACCACCAGGAACCCCGGGAACCACCAGGGACCCCGGGCACCACCAGGGACCCCGGGCACCACCAGGAACCCCGGGAACCACCAGGGACCCCGGGCACCACCAGGGACCTCAGGCACCCCCAGGGACCACTGGCACCACCAGGGACCCCGGGTACCACCAGGGACCCCAGGCACCACCAGGGACCCCGGGCACCATTAGGGACCCCAGTCACCACTAGGGCACCCGGGCACCACCAGGGACCCCAGGCAACACCAGGGACCCCGGGCACCACTAGGAACCCCAGGCACCACCTGGGACTCCGGGCACCACCAGGGACCCCGGGCACCACCAGGGACCCCAGGCACAACTAGGGACCCCCCAGGCACCACCAGGGACCCCGGGCACCACCAGGGACCCGAGGCACCACCAGGGACCCCAGGTACCACAAGGGACCCCGGGCACCACCAGGGACCCCGGGCACCAATAGGGACCCCGGGCACCACTAGGGACCCCGGGCATCGCCAGGGACCCCCAGGCACCACCTGGGATGCCGGGCACCACCAGGGACCTCGGGCACCG